TGCAGGATGAACTTGATGAAGTTGTCAACACATGGAATTCACATAAAATCAGACAAAGATCAATTGACTAATTGATTCATCTTTGCAGCTCTAACATGATTATCTGTTTGCTACGGAAGAGTATTAGGGCCACTGCATAAATTTTTTTAAAAATTCTGACTTTACTCTCAGAATTCTGACTTTAAACTCAGAATTCTGACTTTAAACTCAGAATTCTGACTTTAAACTCAGAATTCTGACTTTAAACTCAGAATTCTGACTTTAAACTCAGAATTCTGACTTTAAACTCAGAATTCTGACTTTAAACTCAGAATTCTGACTTTAAACTCAGAATTCTGACTTTAAACTCAGAATTCTGACTTTAAACTCAGACGTATGGGTACTATTTCGATAACTAATTGTACCAGCTAATTTGCAAGCAGAAATGACAAAACATTGTGGTGTTCTTGTTGTCGTTGTCTGTCTCTCCTGTATGTTGTTTCATGGCCATGCACCCAACTGCACCTTACTGGTTGTTGTGTGTGTGTGTGTGTGTGTGTGTGAGAGAGAGAAAGACTGGTTGCCTTCAAAATGTTTTTAACCTTTGCCAGTGACTTTTGTATCAAATCCGCTGTATTAAAATGTTCTTTGTTGGAATATACTGTCCAACGATACTCTTGCTCTTTGCACAGTGAGTGCTGCTGGAGTTTGCTACTTGTTAAGAAAGGGCTTTAAAAGAAAATGAATTAACAGGACAAGACCAGAGAATGCTCCGACTGAAAGGACAGGACATTAAGACACAGTACCTACAGGAGCCGCTCCCTCTGCACTCTCGCAGATGTGCAGGAAGCGACGTGTGATGATGTCGTTAGGCGTGCTGCCGTCTAAGAAGAAGAGGTCGTAGTGGTCGAAGCCAGCATCAGTGAAACGCTTGGCATCGTAAATCTTCTTGTTCAGACGGATGACGGTGGTCACATTGTGTTTCCTGAAGTACGGGAAATATGCCTCAGGGGCATGGAGAGGGTAACCTGCCAGGGGCGGAGCAAAACAGGTGTTAACGCCATGTCCAGACTAGAGGTCTTCACAGGTCCAATGGGTTCCGAGTGTCCCAGTTCACTCTAAATTAGAACAAATGTAGCATGTGGCCACAGTTCTAATGACACTGTTGGACAGAGGAGGCTAGCCCTGATCAGTAGATGCACACAACATGTAACATGGTGCTATTACAGTAAGCTTTCCACTTAAAAGTCTGTTAAAGTTCTCTGTAGTTCTGAAGTCTCACAGGTGGGGGTCAAAGGTGACCATCAGTCCACATACTGAACATGTTTCTGTCTGTTCACTCACCGTTCTCGATTTTAGTTTTAGGATGAGGTCCACTGAAGGCCAGAAACTTCCCCGGGACGATCCAGTTCATATCGCCATTCTCTACACGCTGCAAACAAACAAAAGCATGGGTTCAAATCTCCAAAACCAGGATGGACATGTGAATATCTCAGAAAAAGGGAAGCGTCTCCATGACTAAAGATTGAAATCAGACTGACAATGGATGGGTGCTTCATGGTTTATTAAACTATCATGGACTGCTGGAAACTGTGGCTTTGTAATGAAGGCGGTCTGTCAGTGAGACCTGACTGAATTCAGGTGTCATGGACATTACAGGGCTGACCCTGAGGGGTGCACTGCAGTCTCACTATGCTGTGAACATCATTCACAGCTGCGACCTGCTGCACAACAAACTGCCTGAATCTAAACTGGTCAATGATTCACAAATTCTTCCATCCTGAACTTGTTCAAAGCACTAAAATGAAACTTCTGCTGATTATTTAAAGTTCTTTCAGGATTTAGGATTTGTGTTGTTTGATCGCTGAATTTTCTGGTAAATTTGCACTGGGTTTGGCAAACCTGCCTGAACTTATGCCATGTGCCTCTCCTAATGAGGTGCCCTGTGGAAAAGTCAAAAGGTTTTTCTTCTTCTAACTGAATTATTTATGAGTCTGCAGCTCTGCAGTCAAGATGACTGACTGACCACTGCTGGGTTTACTCTGTGTAGCTGTAGTAACATAGTACCAGTCCTGGTGTTATGTTTTTACCTCGTAGTGCTCGTACTCGTCTACATCGAAGGTCTCAAAGTCAAAGAAGCCGTGCTGCAGAGCCTGAAACACACAAACACAACAGCTCAGCCAACAGATTTAACTGAAGATCTCTTAAACCAACAACAAAGATAGTTTAGGCAGTCTCGTCAGTCAGTTAATCCTTCTGGTGACTGATGGTGGACTCAGCTCCAAAACCCAATCATCACGATGCCGTTTGAGCCAAGTGGACATTTGATCTGTGCTGAATTCTTCACGTCACTTTGTGCCGTCTGCCATTTTACAGTAACCTTAATCAATGTTGTTTTATACATTGGTTCATTTATATTTTCACTGTATAAGCTGTCGTCTGTTATCTGCTGCTGTGGTGCAACAGAATCAGACATTTCAGTAGCGTCTCTGTCAGCAGTTAAAATCAAATGAGTTTGTCACAGCGCCTCTACCTCCTGCACCTGTGTGATCATCAGCTGAGTGAGATTCAGCATTACGCCTGCTGCAGAAACATCACTGAAACACAAGGCTATACTTCATGTCAGACTGTTTATAATGGTCTGTATTTATTCAATATGACAACACTGTCCTCACTGTGGGCCACAGACAGAGTCCGATTAGCCTGAAGGGGGCACTACAGAGAAGACTCAACTTTATGTCACAACAACATCACTTCGTGCAATAGCCAAAATACATCCAACTTTCTTTAAAGATTTCACTCCATGTTTGGATTCTATGAAACCAAACAAATAGCGAGGTGTGTGTTACAACACTATGGGACACAGACCACAAAGAGGCTGTTGTTGTCTCATACGTTCATGTTTTCACACGTTGGGTGTTGATGGTTGTGTGGAGCAGCTCCACTGTGAATCAGCAGAGTAATCACTGATGAAAATAATCTGTAGCTGCAACGCTAGTTCTGCCCATGTTGGCTTCTGTTATTAAATCTCAGTTGAACCCTCGGGCCTGTCCTCACCCCATTTCGGTAAACGTGCTCTACAAATAAATGTTTACATTTTTACCTGTACAATACAGTTTGCCTGTCTATTTAGCCCCTCCTCCTAAATGCTGAGTGTGACATCACACAGGTGGCACTGTAGTGATGTCAGCACTCGTGCAGCCAATCAGACCTCACCTTCCGGATGCCCTGCAGACAGTCGAGCACTGTGAGGTTGTAGGTGCAGTTTCCAAAGGAAGCGTCCCTGCAGAGACAGAGAGGAAACCAGCAGATAACCAACAATCAACACACTTATGTAAATTGTTGTTGTAAAATGTTGATATGAGAACTTATTAAATGTGAAGCTTTGTTTTGCCGTCACACAAGCTAAATATTAGATTTATATTCTAACACCAGAGAGAATCAAATCATATCTGAACTGCACAAAGACATTAGAGCCAGTGGTGCCACACTGAAACCACACACATGCACAGGTGTACTGTCGAAGAAAGGACTGAAGGAGGTACTGTGGCTGTGCACCAGCGGTGACAACATTTAGGACGGCCATAACCTTTAACTTCATTATCAGAGCAGTGTCAGTGTCTGAAACCATTTCTCTCATCAGTGACACATTCCTCCACACCTCTTCACAGAGAGTTTTTAAAAAGCTCACTATGTTTTGTCCAATTACACCTAAAATACATCTCCACCTGTAAGATCTGGACTGTAGCAGGGCTGCATTATCAATTCCTTTCACTGTCAGTTAACATGAAGATTAATTTCTCAGTTAATCAAGGAATGAAAACAGTTTTCTAAAGTCCAGTGTGACATCTGCAAATGTCCTGTTTGTCCAACCTAAGCCTACAGCCCACAGAGAAAAACAAAAAAATCATTACAACTAAGAGAGAGTGAAACAGTTTAAAAGTTGATAATACTCAGATCTGTAAAGACATCTCTGATGTTTTTGCTTTAAAAATGACAAACTATTAATCAATTATTACCAGTTCATTTTCCATTGCCTTTCCATTTGTATTTGCAACACCAGCTCTAGACTGTAGTTAAACTGCAAATGAGAATACATCCTAAGCAGTTTATCAGACCACACTTTCACACATGCCCATTTACAATCATGGCATTTGTGTCAGATAACACACCACTTCTCCCAAATCTGATACCAGTGTCAGAAAGTTGGGTCTCTTTCAGAGGTCATGGTCTTACAGCAGGACAATGACCCAAAGCAGACTTCAAAAAGCACCAGAGATGGTTTAAGACAATGTGCTGGAGAGTTCTGAGAGCGCCCTACCAAATATTAAGTCGAGGGTGTAATTTTATTCAGTCCACTTCTGGATTTCTGTGTGCAGTGTATCAGATTTGGCTTTTTTCTCAGATTTTTTGTGTTGTCCAATGGAAACAAAAGGAATAAACATGAGAATAACAAAGACTTGGTGACTGCAACAGTTTACTGGGAGAAGTGGTGCAGGGGTGACTGTACCTCCTCTTAGAAAAACACCACACTTTCACTACAGGATTCAGTGTGACACTTTAGTCAGCAGTATATGATGTGACTTCTCTTAGATTAACATCTAAGAGACTTCTCCTCACCGATTCATCATTGCACTCCTCTAACAGGTTAAAAAGAATGAAATTCAATGCAGCAGAACCACAGAGATAATCTCTTATCCCACACATTCTCTCTTCTTTTAAAAACCTGCCACCTACATTGCCCACAATGCATCAGGACCTCTGACAGATGGATAGGAGGCTGGAGTGTGACCTTCATATCACCTGACTAATGACACTGAGTGTGTCTGACGGATGACTGCAGGAGTAAAAACTTTGTCATGTTGCTCCCACAGTCAGTGAAGGCCACATGTTTAATGCAGCCTGCAGAGCTTGTCATCTCGCCAACAGAGGCACAGAGTCCGCCCCTCCCTCCCCTGATGACACTCTGCTGCTCTTGCATAACCACTCCAAGAACAAAACGCCCTTTGTCCTGCTCACACACAGCCTGTGTCACAGCAGCAACAAACTGAGGCTTCAGGCGAACGTTCATCCTCCCGTCTCGGCTGCTGTCAACAGTTACACCTCTGACTTCAACAGAAAACAGTTTGCATGAGCGGGAAGCTGACTGGGACGGGACAGATATAAACAGACAGCAGTCATTTTCTAACTTTCATGCTTGAAGGCGGTAGAAGAAGGAGGTTATTATCAGACCATTGTGTTTCAGCTTGTGTTTTACTGCAGCTTTAACTTCTTCACACTTCCTCCCTCTCCATGCTCCTTGGACGCACGTGAAGCTGTGACACAAATCTCCACTCTGCCTCTACTGTTTGCCACTCTGGATGTCCTCACTAAGGCCTCAAAAGAATCAGAAACACACAGAGCTGCTGCTGTGAAGTGACTGTGGTCAAAATATGTGCCTCTCATCCATCAGATTCAGGCTGTGTATCACTCCTGGGGCCACAGTCACAGCCCAGCACTGTGCTATGCTAGCTGACAACATACAGGAACACATTCGTCTGAGTGCGTCGCAGCTGGTGCACCGGGCTGCCAGACATCCGTAACCGTTTCCTCTGGTCACTCAGGACAGCGCTGAGTACTACAGCAGTAGTACTGCAGTACTGCTACAGCAGTGGGCAGACTGACCTGAAGGGCAGATAGGTGGCATTCGAGCCAGAAATCAGAGCCCTGTAGGCTTCTTCTGGAGTCTTCTTCAGGTAGATCACCTGGGACACATGGAGACAGAGAACAGAAGATAAACAAAGCGTAGCTGGTTGTTGTTCAGTGCCAGGCTCAGTGTTCACACCTTCACAGGTAAACGTTTCCTCAGACAACAGTACTGCTGAGACTTGAGAAACAAAAGTTAGAAACAGGAGGATTGTCAGGCAGATTCTGCAGTCTCTGCTCCTCTGTTTTCTCACTGGATTTATGGAGGTTTATTCTGGAGGGACATCAGAGATATTGATTTCCTGAGGAAGTGGATGTCACACTGAGTCAAATCAACGTGCATCATGATTGTGTTAAAGTCTCTTCATCTCCTGTGATCTGCAGGTCTCAACTGCAGCTCCAGCTGCTGAAAAGCTACAACAATCCTGTTTTCCAACACACTTGCATGCACATGTGTGCTACTGCTGCAACAGGAAGAGGAAGTGATGTACTCACAGCATATCCTCCGATCAGCACGGCAGCGTTCGATCTCTTCCTCTGGTCGAAGCTGGTGTAGTGAACGATTCGCTTCCTGGTCAGAGTGAATGACTGCAGAGAAGATGGAGAGGAAAACAGGAGTAGTATTAGAGCTGAAATCATCAGATGATTAGTTAATCAGCAGAAGATTCATCAACAATCCTCTGGTGAGAGTGTCAGATCTTCTGGTTTCTATTACAGGAAACTGAAAAAACACACTGCACAAACTGGGACAGATAGCACAATTTTTGGTCATTTAATAAATCAAATAATTAACCGGTTAAACAAGAAAGTAGCTGAGAGGTTAATGGCTGCAGCTCTAACAACAATGTATCAGATGTGACAGGATGAATGAAAGTGACGCGGAGCTGCCAATTCTCACAGAGAGCCACTGAACTGCCATCTTCATTTTCTTATTAGTAACACACCGCTGACATTCATCAAGTAGGGAGCTCAGCCTTCTAAGTAACAATTGCAGTGACTCTTCATATGGTGTCTGTGGCCTCATGGGGGCCCAAGAAGGCACGGGGGGTAGCAGTGAAATCACTGCTCATATTTACTCTGTGTTTCACTGGCGTTTCCCTCACCATGTCATTAGTGTTTGGATTATCAATGTGTTTCAGCTCTGTGCAGATCCTCAAACACCCACAGAGTAGAGTCCAACAGTAGAGTCCAAAATGTGCTCTACTGTCTGCCACTGGTCTCTGTGGAGGCACCTGCTGAGGAGTCCAGGACCACGTGACAGGTAGCTGAAGGCTGCATTCATCACCATTAGGTGTTTCCACGTGTATTACACGAGGCACAACACCGGCTGTGAATCCAGCCCATGCAGCCGGCTGGTCACCATGACGAATGACAACAGTCAACCTGAGGAATGTCGTCACCATGACAACACAAGTCAAACACACACAAAGGAGAATGCTTTGTAGTCTGTTGGAGATTAAACCAAAAGTAACAAACACATACAGTCAGTACAGTATGTATTCAGAGCCTTTCAAGCTTTCCACATTGTTATGTTTCAGACTCATCTCAGACACAATACTCCACAATGATGAAGTAAAAAAAGGATTTTGGAGTATTTGTAAATTTATTAAAAATGAAAGATTGAAACATATCATTTACATAAGTACTCAGACCCTTTGTTAGGACACTTGCAAGTGAGCTCTGGTTGTTGGGATGCTTCTACAGTTAGACTAGAGTCCACCTGTGCCTAATTTAATGAGTTTGATATAATAAGGAAAGGCACTCATCTGTCTGTATAAGGTCTCACTGTTGATGGTGTGTGTCAGAGTGAAAACAAAGCCATAAGGTGGAGAAACCTGCCCACAGACCTGCCAGACAGGACTGTGTCAAGACAGATCTGGGGAGGGATACAAGAACATTTCTGCAGAATTGAAAGTTCCCAAGAGCACAGCAGCCTCAATCATTCTGAAATGGAAGCGGTCTGGAACCACCAGCAGGCTTCAAAGATCTGATCGCCCAGCCAGACTGAGTAGTCAGGGACAAAGGGCCTTGGTTAGACCGGTAACCAAGAACCCAAGGGTCATTATGAGACCCAGAGTTCCTTTCTGGAGATAGGAGAACCTTACAAAAGGACAACCACCAGCGCAGCACTCCACCAACCAGGCTCTGAGGTAGAGCAGCCAGATGGAAGCCATTCCTCACTAAAAAGCCCATGACAGCCTGCTGGGAGTTTGGCAAAAAGCACCTGAACTCTCAGACCACGACAATCCTCTGGTCTGATGAAACTGAGACTGAACTATTTGGCCTCAGTTCCAACAGTGTGTGGAGAAAACCAGGCCCTGAGCATCACCTCACTAACACTGTCCTACAGTCACACACGGTGGTGGCAGCATCAGGCTGTGGTGTCTGGGACTAGGACACTAGTCAGGATAGAGGGAAGGATGGATGCAGAAAAATAGAGCAATTCTGAATGAAAACCTTCTCCATAGCCCTCAGGACCTCAGGTTTACACTTCAACAAGACAGTGACCAGAAGCATATGGCCAAGAAAACACAGGAGTGGCTTCAGGAAAACTCTGTGAAAGTCCTGGAGCGGCCCATCCAGAGTCCAGACCTGAAGCCAACAGAGAATTTCTGGAGAGACCTGAACATGGCGGAGGACCGACGCTCCCTATCCAACCTGACTGACCTGGAACAATTCTGCTGAGAAGAATGGAAGAAAATTAAAAAAAGGTACAGAGCCTGTAGCTTCATTCTCAAGGAGACTTGAGGCTGTCATTGCAAAGGTGCTTTAACCAAGTGCTAAGTGAAGGGCCTGAATAGTGATGTAAATGGGATATTTCAGTCTTTTATTTTTAATACATTTACAGTATTTTGGAGTAAACACTCCAAAAACCTGTTTTCACTTCATCACTGTGGCGTATTGCATGTGGATTGATGAGGACAAAATGAAATGAAACCACATTAAAATGAGTCTGAAACTTAAAATGTGGAAAACTTGAAAGGGTCTAAAAACTTTCTGTACTGACTGCATGTACAAAGTACAGGCTGACCGAGTGAAGCCTCAAGGCTGTTTTTTTTTTCTTCATGAAGTCACCACAACCAGTTCCAGCTGCGGTATATGGGATTCAATATGTCCAGGGTGTACTGTATTATGGTATGATGTAAAAGTGAGGGTAGGCACAATAAGCATTAGCTTTGGCCTACAACCTTTTGGTAAATATTGTTGTCCTGAATGTGACACTGTGTAGTTATAGTTGGCAAAATTATTTTGAGCATGAATATTTTACGTGGTCTGAATATTGTTGAAAGCGGTAGTTTTATTTTATTCTATATGTCTGTTTGTTTGTTTTAAAGACCAACATAAACTAACTAACCTGCTGTGTACCATAGCCTGAACAATGCTGTGTAGTGCTGCATTGTGGAGATTCCTGTTTGGGGAAGGGCAGCAGCAGACACTCACCTTCAGCTTCTTGTTAAGTTTGCAGCAGTATCGGTAGAGCATGGCCAGGTTCAGAGGACCAAAGTCTGCATAAAAACTGGAGACACAGAGAGCACAGACCACTGTCAGTGTTCATACACAGAGCTGATCAGGTTACTGTGAGCTGAGATCAGAATCAGTTTCAATCACCAAGTATGTTGCATACAAAGAATTCATCTCTGGCACAGAGGCTCCCAGTGGGTTTTAGGCAACAGACAGCAGAATAGTGCAATCAAAGGGGGAAGCGTGGGGGAAGGAGGAGAGGCAGTATTCATAAGCATTATATACATATATACACATTTCGAGCTACAGGTATCAGACTGGTGCATGTAGCAGTACTATTTACAAGTACTGCAGTGCGATGGCTGCCGAGTCCTGTTGCTTCAGTCATAGTTGACTGCCGATCAGAGCGACCGCGCAGGGGAAGAAACTGTCCTTGTGTCTGGTTGTCTTGGTGTACAGTGACCTGTAGTGCTTCCTATTTTTCAGTTCGCTCACGCTGCTGGGTCAGAGCAGAGTCGGATCAACCAATTGGCATGCAGGATGCGTAGATTCGCATAAGGCGTAGTTGAGATATGGGAGGTGCATGCATCGGGCCATCTGCAACCATGAGCGACTTACATAAACCCCTTCACTGCATAGGTACGCATCCACCCCAACACGCAGTTGTGGACAAGTCTAAAATAGCGGTCAGTCGACTGACAGGTCTCTCAACCAAAGACTCGGTTATTCAACTATTAGGGGGCAGCCCTAATAATTAACATGTGTAGCATCTTCCTACATGTGTGGCACGCTGAAATACCCAGCATGCAAAGTGGCAGCTGAACAGAGGAACAGCGTGTGAGATAAACTTACTTTTCGTAGACGAACTCGTCGTCAGTGCAGAAGTAGTGAGTGTTGGCTGTGCTTTTAGGTCTACTGCGTAATGTGGCGAAGTACAGGCGCTCTGGTGGAGACAAAAACAAAGGACTGTTAAACCCTGGTCCCAGATGAGTTCCTGCAGTTACCATTCAAACCAGTTACTCAGCTGCTTTAAGAGAAACGAAACAAGTGTCCAGAGAAAGGTTTCCTGTGTCTTTAAAACTGAAGATCTGTCGGCTGTCCATCTTTTACATTATATTACATAAGAACAAATTCTGTACCTTTGTTAGCATTTTGTTTGTTTGTTTGCCCAGACAGGCAAAGAGGTGCTCTTATCTGCCTCCACAAAGAATACATAAAGCAGGCTATAATGTTGTTATGGGGAATAATTCTAGTGACCACTAATAATAGAAATAGCATCAAATGTCACGCACATCTCGCTGTCAGTGTTTTCTCAGTTATATGTTTTGACTGTCCTGTGCTGTGACTGCTATTCTCTCATGTCTCTCTGATGGTGACAAATGGATATTACTCGAAGTACCGAAACAAGCTATTAGACAAATTTATAATATAAAATCAAAAAAAAAAAAAGGCTCTGATTTGGAACCATGGTTGTTAAAGTTGGGGCAGGTAGAAGTAGGATTTAGGACACTGACAGAAAAAGATACTTTTGAGCCCTGGGTGACATGATCAGCCAGCCAGCCTGATCAGTAACCAGCAGGTGTTCATCATTTTTTTAAATTCATCGTTTTAAACTGTAAATGGCTGTAAAGACGTCTGACACCGTCTGGTGTATCAAGTCATGATGTTAAAAAAAACTGATCAGCAGGTTCATTCATCTTTACTCAACTCTTTGTAAACTCTTATTAAACCTTTTCTAACTGACCAATAAACTACCAATCAGCTTATCAAACAGCTCAGTAGGGAAACTTTATGAACTTCATTATTTTTTAAAATCTTTACTTTTACCTCCTCCTCTTGTTTAAAACCCCTGAACCCTTATTATAATGTTTTAGCTTTAATAATGTCTCTTTAATTGATAAACCTGTTATTAGTTTCATGCTGGTGCTACCTTATCTTCTGTAGCTTTAATAAAGTCAATAAACTCCTTTAATATAAATTTTTATCCTTTATAAACTGTAAATAAATGTACTCTCTGCTTTTTACCTGTCATTACCAACTCTTACATAAACTCTTAGGAGTCAAGACAGACATCTGTCTTTAATAAATTAAACTGTGATGAACTTTTTTACTTTTACTAAAGTCTTAGCCATAGTTTATTTTTACCTTTATTAAACTGTGTCGCTCCCAGCAGTCCTTTCATCAGCTGTTTACGTTTGATTAACTCGATATTAAACTTTGTTTTTTTACATAGTTTAGCCACAGTAATGAACTCATATTTAGCTTATTAATTTTAATAATCCCTTTAGCTCCCAGTAACGTTAGTTCGGAGTCAGCTGTTATTATGAACCCACAAGTTAATATTATTTTACATGTGATTAAGCCTGTATTTATTCAACTCCTTACTTTTAATCAACTCTTCAGCTCCCAGCAGCTGTCATCCTGAGCCTTTTTATAACAGGTTTTTAACTTTGATTAACTCTATTTATCTCTGTAATAAACACTTTAATAAACTCTTTCTTTGCACCTTTGATGAACTGTGCGGCTCCCAGTAGCTCCTGGTCCTCGGTCATCCTGAACAAGGCAGACATGATGGTGGAGTGCCGCAATCCCTCCGCCGTCATGTACCCGACTAATTCCTGGCCTCACTCACCTCGAATGTCTATCCTCAGAAACTTTTTAAGCGGCTAGCAGCTCGGTTAGCCGTTAGCAGGCTAGCTGCAGTGCTAGCACTCAGCCAACCACAAACTGTTTAAAAAGTTTAAAACTTTCTTTTCAGTTTTGCATCGATGTCTGCGGCTGACTTTCGCTCACAGAAGAATCGTTTTTACAGTTTCCATTGTTTGGTTTTCCGTTTTTTCACCGGTAAATATGCCCTAGTTAGCATTTTGGCAAAATACCTCCGCCACTGCTTGACGACGCTCCAAGAGTCTAATACTCTGATTAACCAAATCGCTCTTAAGAAACGTTACTATAACAACAGGAGCCGCTCCCGTAGCAACCGCAGCCAATCAGCAACCATAACACAACGTGCTGCCTTCGCTATCCACTGGGAAACACGGGCATAGAGGCGTTCACTGTCCGATTCTGTCTGACGTGGAAAGAAACCGAGTACATACTGTATGCTGAATTTCTATACCGAAGTACACACTTTAGACCAGTGGTCCCCAACCCCCGGGCCGCGGACCGGTACCGGTCCGTGGATCAATTGGTAACGGGCCGCACAAGAAATCATTAATTATTTCCGTTTTATTTATTATCTGAGTCTGAACGATCTTTTATTTTGAAAAATGACCGCATTCTCTCGGTTACATCTCGGTCACTTGAGCGCCAAAACTGGCTTACTTGTGGACATATTCAGCCTGCTCAATGAACTCAATCTGTCACTTCAGGGGAAAATGACAACTGTCTTCAAGTTGGCAGATAAAGTAGCTGCATTTAAAGCCAAACTGGATTTGTGGGGACGGCGCGTCAACAGAGGCATTTTGGACATGTTTCAAACATGAGACTTTGGGTGAGACTGAGCCTGAGTCTTCATTCTCCCAGCTGGTGCACGATCACATGTCTTTGCTTTTAAAAGAGTTCGAGCGCTACTTCCCAACCACAAAGGACCCACGAACTGCCAAGGAAGGGATCCGCAACCCATTTGTCAACAAACCAGGTGAATCCAGCAGGTCTGTGCAAGAAGAAGATCAACTGCTGGAGATCGCAAATGACGGCGGCCTTAAAAGTATGTTCGAGACAACAACTCTGCCGGTGTTCTGGATTAAAGTCATGACAGAATACCCTGAGATCGCCACCACAGCACTGAAAACCCTGTTGCCATTTCCGACATCCTATCTGTGTAAAGCGGGTTTTTCTGCAGTGACAGCAACCAAAACAAAACAACGGAGTAGACTGAACATAAGCAACACACTTCGGGTGTCATTGTCTCCTGTTACCCCCCCCCCCCCCCCGGGCCGCGTTAAAATTGTCAAGCGTTGACCGGTCCGCAGGGATAAAAAGGTTGGGGACCACTGCTTTAGACCACAAACCTAGGTTTGACGTGGTTCTGTGTATAGTCTGTTCTTTGTACATACAACTTAGAAAGATATTTACTATTGGGTGTTTTGACATCTTAAAATGTCTCATTGTTTACATATTTCATTAGTACAGGATGCCCAAATTTCTCCAAAAAATATAGCTGGAATGAAAAAAATATGTTGCTATGTTGCTGTGGTGTTAATTAGCACCACTAATGAATTTTCATTTGATAATTATTCAGAAAAAAGTATTCATAAAGAATCCATCTAACAAATGTTCTTTACAAGTATTCTGCTTGGTTTTGTGAAGGTCCTTTTTGGAATCTTAAATGCATATGAATTTGTTTATCATTATTCACTCATATTTATTTTGGCTGTGTTCCTTGGCGATAATTTCTTCTCTACATCATGTAGTCATATCTTATGCTTGATTTTGTCATTTTAATATCTAAAATTGGGAGCCCACAGGCCCAGTCTGGTCAGTTAGACTGGTTCCAAAGTGCAGGACAACAGTGACACAGTTTTTAGTGTTTATGCTCCAACAATTGCAACAATCTGAGGAGCTGAGAGGAGGTAACAGTATTCATCTTTTTAAATGTAAATTTAAACCTCTTTTATTTGGCTTTTGATTTAGGGTGTGTTACTGTCATTAGTATTATTATTATTTTTTATTGTTCTGCATTATTCTTTCTTATATATATTCACTTGTCATTGTATCCTACACACGCACACACACACACATGCACATATATATGATCTAGTTCTAGTTTTTATTTTAATTAATGTTTCCTTTTTCTTCCTTACTGTCTTTTATCTGTGAAGCATGGTGAATTGCATGTACCTGTATGTGAGGTACCATATAAAGCTTGATGTGGAACCTCCAATTAGTCTTTTAATGTCTGCTGACCCTCTGCTGATGTCAAACTCACCTGCAATGAGAGAGATCCACACACAGTTTGGAGCCGGTCCTGGTCCTGGTTCTGGTCCTGGTCTGAGGATCTGGGGGCCATCCTGGTGAGTCTTCCAGGCCCCGGGTTCCGCCATGCTGCAGCAAGCAGACTGCAAGGACAGGGCTGGCCTGAGCTGAGGAGTGTCAGGTGACCTGGATCAGGTTGCTCCTGGTTCCAGAGGGGACAGAGGTGTGCGTTTACAGCCTCCTCAGGTTTCAACACACATTCTGGTCTTAGCTAGACTTCCTGCTGTACACACTGTACATCAGCTCAGCTGTGTGCACTGAAGAGTTTAGAGGGACAACAACAGGACGCCACACTGATGACATCATGGAAACAAGACAGGAACCACAGGAAGTCCAGGTCCAGGTCCACCTGAGAAGTTCCTGAATAGGTCATCTGTCTTCATCCTGTGGGGACAGACACACCTGGGCACCAGAGACAACATGTCCTGTGTCACTGCTGCCTGTTAAAATAAACTACTGTTCCCAGAATTCAACAATGTCACAGACCAAAATTTAAAATATTTACTCTGGAAAAAAAAAACACTGCAGAGGTGACACTGACAAACGCTGATAAATATCTGGGAAAGATAAAATAAAATTAAATATTATATTAA